ATTTTAAAATGTATTTTTATCAAATTGGCATTAGAAAACTACAACTTATAATACTTTTTTGTATAGTTTGAATTTTAAAATATCATTTTAAAATATTGTAACGATCCGTCCGGTCGTTTTGAGAATTTAAGTCCCGTTCGGCGGTATAAGGTCTTGTGCAGCTTCGTATTATGTGTAATGACTTGCGTGCGTGACCGAGTTCAGTTACCAGATGATTCGGAGTTAAATCGGAAGAAGGATTCTAGTTTTGGAAGCTTAAGCGGTAAGAGTTGACCGAAATTTGAATTTTGTGTAAACGTCTCCGGAATGGGTCTTGGATGATTCAACAGCTTCGTATGGTGATTTTGGACTTAGGCGTGCGTCCGGATTTGGGAATGGAGGTCCGCAGGGTAATTTGAAGTATTTTGGCGTAAGTTGGAAAAGTTGAAGTTTGGAAAGTAGAGAGGTTTGACCAAGAGTTGACTTTGGCGATATCGGGGTTAGAAAGCGATTCCGAAAGTTAGAACAACTCTGTTATGTTGTTTGGGACTTGCCTGCAAAATTTGGTGTCATTTGGAGTTGATTTGATATGGTTCGGACGCATGGTTGCGATTCTAGATGTTCTTGAAGTTCATTGTGATTTCATGTGTTTTGGCATCCGTCGTAGTTCTAGAGGTTATTTCGTTGTTTTGATCGCGCGAGCGAGTTTGTGTTATGTTTTTAGACTTGTGTGGGTGTTTGGTTTGGAGCCTCGAGGTCTCGAGTGAGTTTCGGATTAGCTTCGGAGTATTTTGTTAACTTTTTGTGTGCTGGTTCTCGTTTCATCACATCCGCGATGTTTTGGTCGCAAATGCGACTATCGATTTGCGAATCAGCCTTGCATTTGTGAACCTGAGCTGCTTCGCAAGAGTTCGCTTTTGCGAAGAACTCCTCGCATTTGCGAAGTTCTTCTGTTCGCATTTGCGAAGTATTTGGTCGCAAATGCGATCTTAGCAGAAGCCCCCATTTTTTCGGCATTTGCGGAGGTCGCTTTTGCGAACCCCCTGTCGCAAATGCGATATCTGCAGCCTGCTAATAGCTGGACATTCCAAGTTTTAGCTTCATTTTATCATATTTTGAATCCTAGGTCTGAGAGTGGGCGATTTTGATAGAGGAATTTCATCTACAATCATTGGGGAAGTACCTCTAATCAATTTTTAATTATATTTTGTGATTATATATTAGATTTAACATCAAATTCATGAGAATCTAAAGAAAAATTTGGGAAAAATTGTAAAAAAAACTTTTAAAATAAAAAATAATGATTTGAGGGACAAATTGGTATCGAAAATTGATAATTTTTGTATAGTTGAGCTCGTATCAGAATAGGTGTTCGGGTTTTGTGAAATTTGTCGGGTTTCGAGGTGCGGTCCCAGGGGTCGACTTTTGGCTTGATTTTTATTTTTTGATAAGGATTGAGGCTTTATGATCCAGAATAGTTTCTTATGAATTTTATTTATGCTTTGAAGTTATTTTGGCTAGATTTGAGCCGTCCGGAAGTTATTTCACCGAGGAGTTCATTTTTGAGTATCAGATTGTCTTCTTTGAGGTAAGTATCTTGCCTAACCTTGTCTGTGGGGACTACCCCTTAGGATTTGAGTCTTCTATGCTATTTGTATCTTGTGAAGTCCGTGTACGCGATATGACGAGTACGTGCTCGGGCTTATTTGAGGAAAATTTGCCTTTTAGGGTTCTTAGGTCCTTGTATTCAGTGAGTATGAAGTTGTTTTCGTTATGATTAAGTTTTCTCAATTACTAATTTCACCTCTACCTGCTTTAATTGAAAATAATTGCTTCATGATCCATTCCTATTGCCTATTTGACCCTTATATGACTTAACTGAAGATTTTTACTTCTTCTATTGCCATGCTATCTTTTTCTAACTGCTTATCTTTATCTGAAATTATTATTATCTCTTCTGTAATTGTTCAACATTAATTGAGGTCATGATTATCCTTTCCGTTGCTTATCCTTAATTGTAATTGTTGTACCTCTTTCGTGAGTACTAAATCCTAAATGAAGCTAGTTATCCTTTATCAAAGTTGACTTATTCTTAATTAGAATTATTGACTCGTGATATCTCCCTTGTTGTTGAATTGTACCTTGTGGGACCGTTGTTACATACTCCCTCCGTTTCAATTTATGTGAACCTATTTGACTGGGCACGGAGTTTAAGAAAAAATGAAGACTTTTGGAATTTGTGGTCCTAAACAAATTAAAAGGGGGCCCAGGATCTTTATGTGGTTATAAAAGCTTCTCATTAAGGGTAGAATTGTAAGTTTAAGCTAAATTATTTCCAAATTTAGAAAGGGTTCATTCTTTTTGGAACGGACCAAAAAGAAAATAGGTTCACATAAACTGGAACAGAGGGAGTATTATCTTCTCCCTTGTTGAGTTGTTCTTATTATGTCTAGCATTCTCTATTGTGGCTATTTCTTGTAATTAGTTCTTCCGTTTCTTTGAGTTCTAGAATTTCTAAGTTTATTTAATTGTCGTACTCCTGTATTATTGTCATTGTTGCTGTGGTAGTTGTTGTTGTGATACACGAGGTTTCAGTCGTGCGGTTGTTATTGTGATGCACGAGGTTTCTGTCGTGCGGTGTTATCGGGTTGCACGAGGTTTCTGTCGTGCTATTGTTACTATTGATATTTGCACATGCGACGTGACAAGGAAGTGCAAGAACTAAGTTAGGACATTTGCACAAGGATACACGTAGTTAATCACTCCTATCGGTTAAGAGGATGGATTTGATATTGTTGAGTATTGATGCACACCCTTGTTTACTTGCCTTCTATGTGAGTATGGCTCTATTGGTACGTGAGTCGCCAGTGTGATTATAAATTTGTAGTGAGGGCGCATGATGCCCAGTGTTTATGGTTCTGAAATTAGGACCCGTGAATTGTGAATATTCTAAGGTTCGGTACCTCGTGAAGGTTATTGGCTCAGACCTGGTGTGAAAGCGGTCGTTTTTGTTGAGTTGCTACTTGCCTTTCCTTTATCTGTGATCCCCAATCATATCGTAGAAAATGGTAGTCATGGCTCTCATGTAGGTTGCCCCAGCATTCTCAGCCCAAATGGCATGACCCGATAACAGTAGGTACCCCAGGGTGTAGTGAAAGCTGTCTTCTCGGCATCTTCTTCATCCATCAACACCTAATGATATCCTGCGTAACAATCCACGAAGGACTGTATTTCATGTTTGGCGCAGTTATCAACAAGGATGTGAATGTTAGGCAACGGGAAATTGTCTTTGGGACTTGCCCTATTCAAATCTCGGTAGTCCACACACACCCGGGTTTTCCCGTCTTTCTTTGGCACTGGAACCACATTGGCTAGCCATGTAGTATATCGGACCACTCGGATTACACCCGCCTTCAATTGTTTTGTGATTTCTTCTTTGATCTTATTACTGATATCAGTTTTAAACTTCCTTTGCTTTTGCTGTACTGGAGGACAATCGGGGTAAATTGGCAATTTGTGCACCACTAGATCCA